AATATCAAATATTTAAAAGTTACAACTCATCACTAACTGGATTACAAACGTTAATTATTTTTAACTTTTTTAAAATTAGGATAAGGTTGAGTTCGATTGAGTTATAACCTTATTTACCGGTTGATTGGGTTGACCTGATAAAAAAAAGTCAACCATAAAATCGAACTATTTTTTTTTTTCTTCAAAAAATTAAACCGAACCCAAATCTAACCCAACCAACTTTTATAGTTTAGATTATATACCGTTATTTGGTCAGATTATCGAGCCATATGAACACTCTTATTTCTAATTTTAAAACGAAATATTTAAATTTAAATGGATTCATTTCGAAAATTTTAGGGTTTTCATTATTATAAAGTTTATTTTATGATTTTATTATTTAATTTTTTTTAATAAAGGAAGAGGAAGTTTACAATTTAATGAATAAAACTTTAGGATATTAAAATAATTATTCACGTTAATTATTAATTTGCATAAAATGTGGTAATTTATTATTATTAAAACCTTGACTCATTGATGCGTTGGGCACATATGACGAGACTTGTGGAATTATTTTAATATTTTTTTTAGAACGGAAATTATCAATCCGTTGACGTAACAACCGTTGACTTGTAGAGTCGTGTAAATCAAAATTGCATGACACCATGAAAATTAAATAAATGAGTCAATTATAATACGTCATGGGAATTTTTAAAATCATTTCAACCTTAATAGAAAAATATATAATTATCCTAAAATAATATTATATTATGACACGTCTTTAATCGTACTTTCGATATTTAAATAAATATTGATATTTTTATCGACGGAATTATGTTTGAACTTCATGATAAAAGACAATAATAATAATAATAATAATAATTAATATATATATATATATATATATATACACAGTTGGGTCGATTTTTTTTTACTTGTTTTAAAACCCTAATTTTGTTCTAGATTTTGAACTTTACTGGTAAAGTTTCACGCTCGAGATTAATCCGGATTCAACATCTTATGGCTCCGATTTTTCTACTGCATGGTTATGTTATTTACTCTTTGATTCTAAGAGTGGAGGCTATCCCCATAGACCAACACGAGTTTGTCTTTACTCGCATAATTTTTAAGAAAATTCTCGGGAAACTCAATCAACATAAAATTGTTCAAAGCAAAACACATTTATTTTTTATTTTTTAGAAATCGGTTAGAAAGCATATACTCGAAGAAATGGATAATAATTTTTAAAGTAATAAATTATTTGTGAGATTAAAAATAAAATTAAAATTTTAAAATTTTAGAATAATTAGTTTAAAGTTAGGGATATTATATAATTTTACCATTTAAAAAAATAATAAAAAGAAGAGGAAAAAAACAAACATATATGATTGTATGAACAGCCTTGTCCATTGGCTTAATCTGACCATTCACACAACAAACAAGGATATCAAATTAAATAATAATTAACTTTAATTAAACATGAGCATAATAAAACAAAATCAATTTTTAAAAAATAATGCAAATTTATATAAATTAAATATTTTCAAACAAAAAATATATATATATATATATTTACACCTAATCTTTAGGTCCTTTTATGGAAAGATGACAATATTTATTAATTTACTGTTTGAAATTCGTCGTCACGACTCATTAAAAATTTTTTATTTTCTTCAGATAACATGTCCAAGTGACGATGGACGCATACGTTAATAAAACAATAATTTTATTATTTTTATTATTATTTTTAAATATTGAATGACCAAACTATAATTACTTAAAAGATAAAAGATCACATTATATGTTTAGTATTATTTAAGTATGAGCCAAATTACGAGTCTCTAAGAGAATTTCTTCGTATCCTTCCTAAACTTTATGAAATTTCACAAACGTCTTGATTTTTAAATTTTTTTATTTATTTTAGGTTCATACATGATTTTAATAATTTATTTATTTAAATAGGTTGTTCACATGTTCCTTTAATAATGAATTGGACTTAATTTTGTTAATTTTCTTTAATGACTTGTATTTTCGTAATCGAATTGAATTCTATATAAAATATTGACTTTATTTATATGGACATAATTTTAATTAAATCTTCACGATTATAGAATTAAAAAGAACAGTTTTATTTATTTATTTATTTTTTATTTTGAAAAGAGGATTGATTTGATAAGTACTTGGTAGGAAAATAAATTGTATGCTGTGAAGTTGTGGGCTCCAAATATGAACAAAAAAACGCCTCTTTGACTTTTTTGGTTACAATGTTGACTTTGAATTCTCTTTTGAATGTCTCTATGGATAACCTTTTTAATTTCTTAAATAAATCAATAAATTTATATTTTAATATTAAATAGCCATGGGGATTGTATCTTTTAGGGATAAATTACTCAAAAATATCTTTTTAATATTTAAGCCATTAATTCAAAATTTTAGAAATAAATTAGTGTTAGACAAAAAAAAAAAAAAAAAAAAAAAAAAAAAAAAAAAAAAAAAAAACCTATAGTGTTTCTTAATTNAATATATATATATATATAATCATTTTTTTATAAATTGCAATTTTTCCATCGTTATTAGCATTTAATTTGTTTGAAAAAGCTAGTATCATTGAAACATAAGAAATTACTTCGTAATTCACCGGACTTGTTTTTGTTTCTTTCTACTAACTACTTGTACGATCTTCATACAAAAAAACAGATGAATTCCAAAAGTACCCTTAATTAATTTTGGGACAAGAAAGTTGACTTGTCATTATCAACTATATGGTTGAGAATGCAACCTCTTGAAGCATCGACCATGCCTAACTAGGTGCTAAAAATGTAATTCTGACTTCTCTTAGAAATGTGGAATATGAAATCATCTAGTGGGACATAAAAAGTTCTGTACGACATTCAAAATTTTGATCTCCAAAACATATATAAAAAAAAAGAGCCTTATACTACTTTTCTAACTCAAGTTCAATATTTTCAATGTCGTCTAACTTATTTGGTTTAAATTCATGCTTGTATTGATATACTAATAGACATATTCGAAGTCATGTCAAGTGTCAAGTGATGATCACGATAGGGCTTTATACCTAATACAAACAAAGTCGAAAGCTCAAACCTAAAATAGAATGAATTTGTAAGATTATGATCATATGTAGTGTTTAAACCCACCTTCTTGTTCTCATTCAACTAAAGATGCGCAGTAAAGCAGAAGTTATTGTGTACTTTTGACAATAAGATGATTGCTTACACATCTTAAATGGCTTGCCTCTGTTGTAAGCTTTTGCTTGTTCTTGCTTCCATCATCATTTCAGAAGATTGACTTCGACTTTTCAACTCTCTTTATTTTTTTGTTCTGCACAAGGATAAAGATAATAGCAAGACTAATCAATTCTATTCCACTTGTGGTGTTTGAATATGCTTGCAGAAACTAACAGAAAGTAGACATCAAAATGGACTTTGAAGACAACAGTGATGAAAACAGGGAGAAAAATGTGATTGCAAGAAAGATCACGGATGAGACTTGCTAGTCATTGATGTCGATCACTCATTCCATTTAGTCTACATTTACTCTAAAAAATTTCACAACGTGATTTATTTTATTCATTTTCAATTTGTCCTGAAAACGAAGATTTGCACATCTCGAATCCGAAAAGCATCCAAATCATAGTTATTCCAACCTCGATCAGAGATTCTGAATGAGTTCGCATCGAATTTCATTCCACTTACATAGAGAGGAGTACGAGAACCTTAGACAATCAAATTCCGCAAAACAAAATGCGGTTCAATGCATGCTTCAAGAAGAAGAAGAATACGCGACATTCCAGAAACAGAATAATACGAATCTATGGAAAGAGGACGTTCAATCTAAACATAACATACAGTGAACCATAGAGAAATGGCGAAAAATGATCAAGATGACGTCAACGAAGATGACGATACCTGGATTACTCGACGGAGAAGAAATCAAAGCAGCATAGTTGTTGAGATGGAGACCGGAGAATCGAAGCTTCCATTGTTGGGTACTGGTGGAAGAGAAAAAGAGATGCGTCTGAGCCCTGAGGGATAGCAAATGGATTAGGGCTTGAGGGCAAACCAAAACGGTGATTACGGGTTTCAAATTGGGCTTGGGCTTGGGCTTGGGCTTTTAAATTGGATTATATGGCCCAAATAATGGCCCATTTTGAAAAAACAAACAAAAACATGGACAAAATTTGAGAGAATACCAACTACATTTAAACGACAGCGTTTTGCCACGGTGTCAAGAAGACAACTTGGGCGCACGTTAGCATCGCCTCTCCCATAATTTCAAAAAGAAATTGACATTCAAAGTCTCGTTTATTTCCCGGGTCCACACACACTTTCTTTAATCACAAAACCACCCACCAACTTTCTTCAATTCACATAACCGCCCCAAACTTTTTCAAATTCGGGCAACTTTCACAATTATAGATATCATCAAGCCCCTACCATGTCAGGGCTATATCTTTGTAATTATTAATTTTTTTTAAGAGATTAAACAATAGATTTAAAAGTTTTAAATTTTTAAATTTTTAAAGTTTTAAAATTTTAATTTTATATTTAATAAATTATTATTGAAAAACTATAATTTTCGTGTTCATTTAAGTTTTTAAAAAATTCTTAAGATGATAACTATTTAATTTTTTTATTCATAATTTTAAAAATTAAGTTTAGGAATTTATTTATTATGCCGTTTAAATTTATAAATATTTTCGTAAAGTTTTGAAAATTTGAAAATTTATTTTTTAAATATTTATTTTTGTGTAAATTTGTTTAATTTGAAATTATTAAATAGGGTAAAAAGAAACCATATTAGATATAAATTTAAAAATTTTAGAAATTTATTAAATGCTTTAAATTTATTGAAGAGGAGAATTAGTTTGTTATTTAATTAAAGTATAGGGACTAAAATAGCAAATTAGGAAAGTTAAAAGGACCAAAATGCAATTTAAGATTCAAATAATATTTATCTGTTTTTTTAAAAAAAAAAAAAAAAAAAGACCTTTCGGAATCGTGCAGATGCAAAAGTGGAGAGAGAGCAGAGACGAAACCTAAGAGAAAGGAAGCAAGAAATCTAGAGAGAGAAAGAGGAACAGAAGAGAGAGAGAGAGAGAGAGAGAGAGAGAGAGAGGGGTTGGTTTCAGTTGGTGATGACGATGGACAGAGAGAAGGAGAGGGAGATTGAGCTCGAGAGTTCAATGTACACTAACTGTTTGCTTTTGGGCCTCGATCCGGCGGTTATCGGCGTCGGAGCTTCCAACGGTATCCCACGAGTTGGCCTTTTCCGTCACTCCAATCCAAAACTCGGAGAACAGCTCCTCTACTTCATTCTATCTTCCCTCCGAGGACCGCTTCAATCCGCCAAAGTAACATTTCGTTTCATCTCTCTGTTTAATTTCGTTTCTACTGTTGTGTTCCGTTTCCAATTTCGCCCGATCTGCTGTTTTTGTTTGTTTTTGGATCTTGGTAGGATTTCGATAAGGTTTGGCCTATCTTTGATTCCGCGCAATCGAGGGACTTCCGGAAGGTATAATTTTCGATCTCGTTGTTTTTTTTTTCTCGTGCTCGTCAATTCTGGTTTAGAGGTAATTCGAATTTCGATTTTAACTTTACTTTTCGGATTAATTTAGGTTACTAGTTGGTGAAATATTTTTTTAGGTCGTGCAAGGGATCATCAGTGAGCTTGAATCTCAAGGTGCATTACCCAGGAGTAATTCGAGGGTTTCGTCTTTAGCCACGTGCTGTGGACCGAGGTCAGTTGATGATGCTACTCATTGTCGTATATCGTTTAGAATTTCCAGCTCTGCTGAATTGTTTCTCATCAGTTCTGTGGGTATAGAGTCAATTGTGGAACGATTTTGCTACTCAGACACTGCTTTTAGCTTTAGTAGGCATGTTGGAGAAGTGATTCTAAAATTTGTCTCATGCTTTCAACCCAGTTTGGGATAACATTCATGTGAACAAATAAATAGAGATTCACTCGAGTTGGATAATTGTGTGCAGGTTTGTTGAACTGTTGTGGCAACTTTCCCTGCATGCATTGCGGGAGGTTCACAGACGCACGTTTGCTGCTGATGTTGCATCTAACCCACTTCCTGCACCTTTGACAGATGTAGCGTTTTCACACGCTGCTACATTACTTCCTGTGACAAAGGTAGTTGTTAGTTAGAGTCATCCGATAACTGTTTCATTCCCCAGTTTAATTAATAACCAAATAATGAACTACAACTCTGCATTCTTCCATGTACGATGGCTGACGAATTATTTGTCATGTATATATAAGTTGTCACTTAAGAAGTGGCATTTTAGTAACATTATGAAACAGTGTGTTTACGTGCCTGTAGCTCAATGAAACAGTGAGTTGAACCCATCATCTCACCGGAAATAACTTTTTCTGTCTGTCTTTCTGTCCTTGGTCTTTCCCATTTGTTGATTCCTAATTATTTGATTGTTACTTGCAAACATTTATTTGATCTCTTTGTCCCAAGTAGGCTAGAATTGCACTTGAAAGAAGAAAGTTTCTGAAGAATGCTGAAACAGCTGTGCAACAACAAGCCATGTGGTCTAATTTGGCTCATGAAATGACTGCCGAGTTTCGTGGCCTCTGTGCTGAAGAGGTGTTCATATTTTCCTCAGAAACTTATAGCTATCCTTATTAAGATACTTTTGGCGTTCATGACTGTTGCCTCATCATTCTTCTTTCTTTCCCCTTTGTCTGGGAATCATGGATGCCAGGCCTATCTGCAGCAAGAGCTAGAAAAACTACATGATCTGAGGAACAAAGTAAAATTGGAAGGGGAGCTATGGGATGACCTTGTATCAAGTTCAAGTCAAAACTCACATCTAGTTTCAAAGGCAACTCGTTTGTGGGAATCTATATTGGCACGCAAAAGTTAGTATAAACTTTTCATGCTTGCACAACAAATTTGGTCTTTGAACTCTTGAGCTACGTTGTAGTTTTTTTTTTTTTTCAATCAGATTATATATTTTATGTTTAGTTTTTTAATATAATTTAATTGAATAAGATCACTACTTCACATTGAAGGAATAAGGGCTCCATGGATAAACGTTCCAGTAGTTAATATCTTTATAGGTCTTTTATCTTTAAAAAGCTTAGGATAGTATAAACTTTCAATGTTCTGTTTAATCGGTATCTAAACTTAAAAGACGGTCCAATATCTATCTAAAATTTCAATTTATATGTATTAGGTCTCTAAAATTTCAATTTTGTATGACGTAGGTCCTTGATTTATTACACTTTTTAAAGTTCAAGGTCCTATTAAACACATAGTTGAAAGTTCATTGATTTATATTGAGATATTTGATACTTTTTGAAGTTTAGGGACTTATTAGACACAATTCTCGAAGCATGGAGACCAAACTTGCAATTTAACTATCTTTTTTCTCTTCTCATTGAAAAACTATTTTTTTTATCTTACAGATACTGGTAGGATGTCATGTGGCTCACAATTTAAACAATTGACATGCTTTATCGTTTTCAAACTACTTCCATTTTCATTTGCTATGGGCAAAACAGTCTGTTTTGTTCTTCTATAGAGTACGCCTACTGAAGAATATATGTATCTCAGATTGCAATTCAGATAATAATAGATGTTTTTCAATGTTATTATCATTGAAAAATATTTTTCTTTTTAATGGTTTAACCTGTTATTCATGATTAGTTATGAAACCATATAAATGGAAATGAGAATAATATCTCATTTTTAGGTCTTCACAGATCCTGTGATTGGCTATCGTGGCTGCCATTGAATCTTGACTTGTCAGTCTACTTCTTTGAGTAATTGTACTTAGGAGAACATCTTTGTTCCGTTTGTGTGAGAAGCTGCAAATTTATGATAGATCACTTTGGTTGTTATTACTATTATCGTTATTATTATTTTGCATGAATCCTTTTGCCTGGAAATCCTTTTGCTTGGAAATCCTTTATTGTATCATTTCCCCTTTCCGGTAGATGGAAAAAACGAACTTTTTGGTGAAGATCAAATATCTGGACTTTATTAGTTTAGCTCGTAGATTATTGTTTTTGTTGTTGAATTTTATTTGACAATCACTATCGAAGTCAGGTTGCTCAATTTTCTTTCTCTAACTCAATATATATCTCGATGGTGTACAGGTCAACATGAAGTTCTTGCTTCAGGTCCTATAGAGGACTTAATTGCCCACCGGGAGCATAGGTACACTGTTGTGTATTACTTGTTAGGGTATACAGATTCGATACCATATGCCAAGCTAACTTCTGTACAATATTGACCTTTAGGTATCGCATTTCTGGATCATCTCTACGTGCAGCCATGGACCAGAGCTCTCAGGTTCCTTACACGGACATCCTGGCCAGTCAGTCAAGTGATTCAGATTCAGTGTTTGTGGATGACAAAGATCAGAATGACAGCTCAAATGCCAGTTCACAAATAAGTGATGATTCAGTATCATGGATGGATGATAGGAGTGGAAGAGTCCATCCCACTGTTGATGTTGCCGAAATCATTAGGCGTTGGACTCATGCTTTACAGCGTATTCATAAACAGTCACTCCATCTGGTATGCTTTATTAGTTCTTTAAAAAAATTTGCAAGCATTTGAATGATTAGTTTAACTTTATGAAATCTGAACCTTTGGGAATGGATTACATGTCTATGAGTCTTAGTTTTCTCACCACTTTCCTCATTTTATTTCTATGAGTTCATTTGATTGGTTTAGCAAATGCTTTTCTTGCAACATGCTGCATTATTTTGAACGTGTTGCTCCATGTCACAGTAGAATACGAAGGATCTTCCCTGTATGCATGATATAGCGAACTTATATTTTTATATTTCACTTCTTGGGAGATTTAACATTTTTCTCCTGTTTGGTTATTTTCTGGACCAACTTTTAGGCTATAGCTCAAATGTATTTATGTATTTCCCTGATTGGGAGATTTAGAAGTATTTCATGTGCTGATTTGTAGGCAAAAGCAAATGATGGAGAAGGTCCTGAAATTCTACGCGGTGCACATGATGGTGGTACAAGTGGCCATGCTGAGTCTTTGGCAGCAACTCTTGCTGAACATCAACAACACCTGGCAAGCTTGCAGGTTTTCATCAAATACCCTTTTGTAATTGTGATCAAACAACATTTGTGTCTTTCTAAAGTACCGTTTTTTTCATGATGGGTGCAATGATGGCTTAATAAGGCTTAGTTCCAAATTGTTGTATTCTTCAAAATAATCGATTCAAATGAACCTAGTGTATTGGTAAATTTCAGTATTCAAGTGAAAATTTCAGCATTCAGGATTCTAAGGCTGGTTATGTATGGTCCTTAAAAGTCTGGTACTAGAATTTGTGTGTATGTGGATCTTTTTTTCTCGTTGGTTTCTATAGTCTACATGTAATCCTGGCTTTAAAACTTTGCCTGTTTGTAGGGGGCTATACCAAGGTCTGTTCATGTGGGATGTTTTCTTATCTTTGACGTCAATGTTTGTACGTGCAGGTGCTCATCAACCAATTGAAGGAAGTTGCTCCTGGAATACAAAAATCCATATCAGAGTGTACCGAAAAAGTGAACAATATATCATTAAATCTACCTCCAGCGACCAAACATCCTGTTCGATCTATGTCACCTATGCAAGCACAGACTAGTGGACGGACATCGGTAATTGTTAAGATGCTGTTTATGAATCCGAAATGATTCAATCTGCTGAACAATGTTTTCTCTGTTTTTCTGAATTATTCAGGTTAGTAGTAGTGATGAGGTTTCTGAGGTGACTTCAAAAATGTCTTCTGTTCAATTGGACAAGATGTCTGCCAGTCCTACTTTAAAGCTCCCTCAATTGTTTAGTTTGACACCAAACTCTTCTGGAAAAACGGGAAATACGCAAAAGCGACACAATTTGGCATCTCAAACCAGCCAAATAGAAAATTCATATGAAAACAAATCTCCTGACCAGCCTTCTTCAAATGATCATATAAATAACCTAACACAAGGTTTGGCTGAATGCATCTCATTTTAACTGCAACGATAGGTTAAACTTATTCAGCTCATCTTGATCATCTATGTTCTATCTACATTTTCTTCAACAGATACAGAGACTTCTTATGTCCAGAATTTAAAGAGATCAGTCAGAGAAGCTGCTCTTTTGATGAAATACAGCAATTCAGAAGCATCACGAGAATGTTATTCTGATGGAAGTGCAGAGCACTTTTTTGTTCCATTTTCAGGAACTGGATTTGCTCATTTAGGCCCAGATAGTAAACAAGCTTCCACGAGGAGTGGAAGGTTGTCTGTTCCTGAGAGTCCTGCTTGTGACTTCAATAATGGAATTGATTTCAATGAATTTACTGGTGCATTGAATGATCTGGATTCTCTTAATGATTTTGACGAATTAAATGGATTTCTTTCCTCTGCTCGTTCAAATTCTGCAACTTCTGATGGTCGAAAGTTATTTTTCGACAACGATGAAGCTCAGGATCAAGTATTCTCACCACCTTTGCTGTTGGACTCATCACTTTTAGCAGATTCTTATGAAGATCTACTTGGTAAGTTATCTAGGTCAGAGCATCCCAGTTTAGAATTGAATGCGTGTTTTTTTTAAAAAAATGTTGATGCCATTCTGATTCCTTTTCAGCTCCGCTGTCTGAAACTGAAACTGCAATGATGGACCATTAAGTTGAAATTTCAGCAGCTTTTCATTCTTCAGTTTGAGATTTTTCACATCTCAACACTCATTCCACGCGGTGCATACATCAGTTTACCTCGTCGTCGTCCCAGCTTCACACAGTGGATGGATATTCTTGTTATTTTTGTGGTAGCCATGTGCCAACTGAGTACTATGCTATTAATGGATCACACATATCTTCAAGCCTAGCAAAGAATTCAAATATTTTCGGCTGTCCACGATCGGGACAGTCATTCAGATTGCTATGGTATTTAATCCTTTTTCTCGATTGGTTTTCTGTGATGGGTTTTCAACAGCTTCCAATCCCATTGACCTCAGTCTAAAGTGAGCTTAGGCGAGTTCTTCAAAGTGGTAAGCCATTCAAACATTGGGCTAAAATACTAAATTCGGATCAAAGCTCGGGATCGGTAGCCTTTTGTATCTATTGTTTGATTTAAACATTAGCACTAATTGACAAGTTCATTTATATATTTGCTGATTTGTATTTTATTACCTGAATTGGTAGCGTTGTTAATGAACCTCAGAACGATCTGTACATTCCCCTACAGAATTGTGTTCCTGATTTGTTCATCTTTCAGCTGGCTTGTTCCTTCACGTGCATCTGTTTTGGCCTGATTCAGATTCGAGCCGAACTTGGAACTCGTCTCACGGGTAAGCCCTATAGACCCAACAACATATCTCCCATCAAATTTTCACATCACATCATGTGCATTTAGGATTGGTAGTTTACTATGTTAATATGATGATTGCTGAGCTGACCAGTGAAATAGACAGATTCCTTAGCATTTTGTATGTCTTACGATTGTTGAGCTGACTTTACGATTTAAGAAGTTGCATGCGTAGAAAAGTAGAAGCAGCCATTTATGAAAAGATGGCATTTGGAAGTTGACAGAATTAAGGAAAGCATATATGCGTTAAGTTGAATTGAAAAATTCAAAGTAACGTGTAAACAGCGTTTGAGAGCTTTTCTTTCTTTATTTATTTATTCCAATTAGAGATGTCATCTTTTCATAAATGTTTGTTTATACTTACCCCTAAAGGAGCGAAAACCCGTTTAAATGATATATGTGGGAAGGAGTGAGGAGAAATTTTTACTCATTAGCTAAATGTGGATGGGGTGAGGAATATTCTCCGTATCTGACCTCGCCCAAATCCCTATCGTGCATCACTTTGTGTGTATTTATTTATTTCTCTTTCTTTTTACGGAGTAAATAAATATTCTTTTTAAAGTGTGGACAACCACGTTGCAATATTGAAATTTTAGCTTTTATTGCTTGTGAACGAAAAATTCTTGGCGAGGGATTTGATCTTTATGGAAGTAAATGGGAGATTGTGCAAGAATAAAGGTTAAAATAGGAGACGAAGACAGGAATAGGGGTTAGAAGGCTTCTTCATCCCCACCTCTGTCTCGTAGACACCTCTAAGTCCTTTATATTATCGTGCAAGTTTAAATTTTAAAATATTTGATTTAAATCTTGTTTGACACATGCAGTAATTTATATATATATATATATATTTTTTTTGTCTCCAATATTTATACTGGATAATTAGTTTATTCATAATAATATTTTTACATTTAAATTATTAGTTTTAGTTTAAATGAGTATTAATAATGTTAAGCAATTAAAATTATTTTAGACATATCTTTGAAAAAAAAAACACATATTTATTACGTAATTATGGCTTAATTACATTATAAATAAAATGAAAAGAAAAATTTATCACAAAATATTTACCAAAATGATTATGGAAATTTTTATTTTTAGTTTAAATTTTATGGTTAATTTGAATGAGATATTTATAACGAAGCAGTCAATGGCAAATTTCAATTGACTTTGGTCAAATTCAAATTGTCAAATTTTTTTAATTTTTCATTTAATTTAAATCAAAGTTGAATTGAATAATACCATCTTAATTTAAAATGGTATAATTTTAAAAAGGGGAAAACGTGTGTTAAAAATAATTTTTTATAATTCAAATTGAAATTATTTTATTTTATTTCTATTTTATGTGTCACAATTTCTCATAGGTGAGCTGTCACTTCTTTGTTGCAACCCCCCCAGCTCAATAGTTGATTGATTACCTGATAACCCGACGTCGTTTCACCCTCTCCCATATTTGTCCCGGTCCATCACATGTGACATGGCAAGTTTGTACAGCTCATTTCCTAGCTGGCACAGCAATAGATCTGTGACAACGCCTTATAAAAGCAAAAATATAAATAAAAGATATTTAAAATATATATATATTTATTTAATTATTTAATTAATCTACCTGGAAAAAAAAAAAAAACCTAGTAAAGAAATTATAAGAAAACAAAAATAAAAAACGAACTAATGATTATCGGGATCCATATTTAAAAATAAAAATGCAATTTGTTGATATATGTAGTAAGTATCGATACTTTTCTTTAACCATACTTGCATATCTTTGAATCTCTGTCATTCAGATCTGCAATCGATTTATTCATGTATTTCTCCTTTACCGAGCATCACGTGTTACCCTACTTCCACCTTGGTTTGTACCCGAACCACGTCCTATTAATAGAGGTCCTATTTGAATATACAACTTCTCTCTACCTAAGGTTATATACTGGGAGCCGTTGTTGTTACTCTTTTCCTTGCTTATCTAACATCTTTTTCAAAAATCTCTCTCTGCCCTCGTTTTCTAAAACCTTCTTCTTAAACCGAGGCCAAAGGCTCAAGCATACGTCGCTTGGCCGTAGGCGACGTAAGAACAAATTGGCTTAGCTCACTTGTCGTTGGAAAGTGAGTGTCACACAATCGCAAGACCGCTGCCATCAAGGGTGCGATCGAGACAAATTGCAATGTTTCTAGGATCCAAATCGTAAATTTGAGGTATACACCCAATATATTTTCTTGCAGTTGCTACGACCTAACTATGTTACTGTACTCGTCTCAAACGACTTACAATAGCTAAGATCGTTTTCACTAACTAATCCAAGTCCTAAGTCGGGATATCTATATATATATATATATATATATATATATATATCTATAGAGAGAGAGAGAGAGAGGTGCCTAATGACCTAAAATTTAATATTTGTGGTACTAAAATAAACATAATACCTAAAAATTAATATTTGTTTGTTTTTGAATTAATTAATTTGCCTTTTTCTTTTTGAAGGAAAAGGAAATAAACTGGTAAGGATTTGGGGGTATGGTTCGAATGCCCATTACGGACCCAGAAGATCCCTCTTCTTCTTCCTTCTTCCCTCTTTCTCTCTCGAACACCGAACGCCATTGAAGCATTGCTGAGGGATATCGAGATCGATTTTGCATTTCAAGGACTCCCAATTCACTCGATCTATCGTAGAGAAGCCCCCAAATTCCGTGTTCATCCATGATTCTATCTCTGTCGTCTCCTTGCGATTCAGCTCTGCGATTTATGGTCTAGAATTTGCAACAGAGAGAGGGGGGGTAGTAGGGGGAAGAGAGAGGGAGATAGAGAGAGCGACAGAGAGAAAGGAGAGCGAGAGGGATTTAGAACAGAGACCGAGAGAAATGCCAAGCGTGGCTGTGAAGCTCTACAGCGTGTTCTTCAAGTTTCTCTTGAAGCATCGTTTGCAGAATCTGATCCAAGCTCCACTTGACGAATCGAGTCCTTTTGGAGTTACATCGCGACCCGAAGAAACGGTTGCTTCCGCTAATCCTTTGTTCACCGACGGCGTTGCTACCAAGGATATTCACATCGATCCGTTTACATCTCTTAGCATTCGGATCTTCCTCCCTGAATCTTCGCTTACTCCGCCTGAAACCGACTCCAAACCCTCTTCTAAATCGACAAAGGCTAAACCTAAATGGCACAGTCAAGATCTTCAACTGGATCTCGTTAATCAGAATCTGGATAATTTACAGCCGTATTCTTCTCGACGAAATAGCTATGGTTCTTTGGGAAATTCTAGGGAAGAACTGCGGGTGAATAGAGTTGGGGGTTACAGTAATGAAATAGAGGGGTTGAATTTGATTCCGGGCCCCGCCACCGGTGGTGTTTACAGAGGGTATGCACCGGCGGCGCAGAATGGTCGGAGGTTGCCGGTGATGTTGCAATTTCATGGCGGGGGGTGGGTTAGTGGTAGCAATGATTCTGCAGCCAATGATTTCTTTTGCCGGAGGATTGCAAAATTGTGTGATGTTATTGTCATCGCCGTAGGGTATCGTCTTGCGCCCGAGAATCGTTTTCCGGCGGCGTTTGAGGATGGATTGAAGGTGTTGAATTGGTTGGGGAAGCAGGCCAATTTGGCCGAGTGCAGCAAGTCTATGGGCAATACAAAAGGCTATGGCAATGAGTTCAAGAAGTCGGATAATCACAGGCATATTGTTGACACATTTGGGGCGTCAATGGTAGAGCCTTGGTTGGCCGCCCATGGAGACCCAACAAGGTTATCATTTTCATAACTCTATTTTTCTTACTAATTTTTTCCTTGAATTATATGGGTTAATGTGATGATGACATTGCTTTGATTTTCTTTCTCCCTTGTGTGTTAACGAACCTGGATAGTTTTTGTTTTGGTTGAGTTATAAGTTTGGTGGATTTGTGTACTTAAACAATTTTCTAATTGGCTGTTGAATTTTCATGGGTGCTTCTATCTTGTTCTCTGAATTTTAAAATTTAAATTTTAGAGCTTATCTGGTCATTACATTATTTAAGGATTAGGTGAAGAGCTGATAATTGACAGATTCTTGTATTAGGTGGGATAGATGTTAAACTTATGAGGTTAACTTCTAGGAATTTTCAAAATCGTTTTAAAATATGAGATCGAATAGACACAATCTTGATTGTTCAGGATGTATTAGAAATTCTTTAAAGTACGGGTACCATATAGACCTTTCGTTTTCTATTTCTTCAACACCAACTTCCTGTTTCTGTCTGTTTGATTCCTTGAAGTTGGGATTAGAAGCAAGGAATGAACTTCAGTGGTCTACGATCGGATCTGCAAAATGGTTTCCGAAATGCACTAGATAAAAGATCATCTAAAATGATGGTATATCTTATAGGTGAACTCCAAAGACATAGATATAATTTGAGAGATGTTTCCAAATGGTATGGAGATCAAAAGTTGGAAGCAACAATGTCAACCTGTTCTTGATTTAGGCTGCAATGTTGAAGTGTATGGTTATATCAAAGAGGAAGTCCCTAGCTTGCTTTGAAAACTTATTTACACCTTAGCATATTCCAGCAGTATGTATGAATGAACTTAACAAACATGTCGGTCCGTATAATAACGGGCGGTAGATGTAGTTTGAAGCGATTGAAGTGATTTATCTTGAGCTATATATAAATTTTAAGGCATTGAAGAAGTCAGCATCACAATACAAGCTGGTGCTTATATGACATTCTAGTATGTATTTGTTAGTTCTTTGTTACTAAATCGATATTTAATATGTCACGACCCTTCAATCATTAGTATTTCTAACCAAATTTTGATGTACTAGACTGAGTTCGGGGCTGTATTGAACGACGGATTTAATTAGTCAGTTCTTTGTTCTGAACTGTTACTGGTAGGATGGTTAAGCAATTGTAATAGATTTTTGTAACCTGTTCCTCTGAATAGTT